TTCTCAGATCTTAGCCTCCTAAATAGCTACAATTATAGGCGTGAGCCACCAGTGCCTGGCTTCCTGAACAACATTTAACAAATACAGAAAAAAATAATTTTTACACCTTGATGGGGGGGAGCTGTTTACAGATGAAGACATCACACTAAGCCATACTGCTGGGAAAAGAAATTAGTGTAAGGTATATTAAATAGGTAGGTTTCATTAGGTAGCTGGTGAAGAGACCATCACAAGCTATTCAGGCAGGAAAAGTAGCTGCCCCCCGCCCGCTGTGCATAGTGGAGAGGCATGGCCAAAAAGGGGAGACCCACCCCCAGGGCCAGGACTTATTAGGAGCTAGCTTCTCTGGAGGGGGGCAAAAGAAGCAGAAGGAGTGAAATAATCAAGGCAATCTCTCCCTCCCTCCCTCCCTCCCTCTCTCTCTCTATAATAGATAGATAGATAGATAGATAGATAGATAGATAGATAGATAGATAGATAGATAGATATCCCTCTCTCTCTCCAAGTATGTGCAGGAGGTGTCTAACTTGTGTCTCTAGGCAAAGGAGATTCCAGGTCTGGAAAGACAAGTGTTTATAAACTTCTGAGTTGAGCTTTCTAAGCTTTTCTTCAGATCTCCATTCTCTGGGGGCCAAATTTTCCAAGCTTTAGATATGTTAATAGAGACCATCAAGTTGGAGTTGGGTTTGGTACCGGAGACTTTTTTCTGTACACGGTTTCTGTTCAGCAGCAGCCTGTTGGATAGTCCCTTGTTCTTTCCTCCCCAAGGGTCATCTGAAAGACTTACCTGCTGTGCAATAATGGAACCAGAAGGCCTTAAGTCCACACACCCTGGGCAACTGCTGTGCAAAGACTTCAGTTTTATCCTTTGATCTTTTTGTTTAGGAGCAGAGGATGCAACTAATGACCTCCTGTATGCAGGCCACTGAGCTACTACCCCAGCTACAACCTTCTACTCGTGTTATATTTGGTCCTAGAACTTAAGATCCTCAGAAGCATCTCCTTTCTCTTTTCTCCAGACTTCCTTCACAAGTGACAACTTTAGCTTTCCCTCAAGGGAGCTGGGGTGGGACCAGCCTTTCTCCTGGCTTCAGGGTCTGGGAGGGAGGGAAGGTGGGAGAATGGAAAAGTTGGACTCTGATTTCTCTTCCATCTCCTCTTCAGCCTCCCTTCTCTCCCTGTGCCCTTTTCTTACTGCATATTCTCTGTCCCTCTTTTTCCCTTATTTTCCTTTCTTCATTTAATCAATGCTTTGTTAGGTTAAAATTGGTTTCAGAGCCGGGCACCGGTGGCTCATTCCTGTAATCCTAGCTACTTAGGAGGTTGAGATCTGAGGATCGTGGTTCAAAGCCAGCCCGGGCAGGAAAGTCCGTGAAACTCTTACCTCCAATGAACCACCAGAAAACCGGAAGTGGCACTGTAGCTCAAGTGGTAGAGCGCTAGCCTTGAGTTGAAGAGCTGAGGGACAGCGCTCAGGCCCAGAATTCAAGGCCCTCGACCGACAAAAAAAAAAAATTGGTTTCAGACAGCTGGGTGCTGGTGGCTCATGCCTGTAATCCTAGCTACTCAGGAGGCTGAGATCTGAGGATCCCTGTTCAAAACCAATCCAGGCAGGAAAAAGTCCATAAGACTTACCTCCAGTTAGCTAGCAAGAGGCCAAAAGTGGAGCTGTGGCTCGAGTGATAGAGTACCAGCCTTGAGCCAAAGAACCAACGAACAGTGCCTAACCCCTGAGTTCAAGTCCCAATACCAGAACACACACACACACACACACACACACACACACACACACACCATGTATAAAGGCTTACCTCCAGCCAGTGGCACCACTGGGAAGTAATGTAGTCTCTAGGAGGTAGAGCCCAGTAGGAAGAAGTTAGGTCTTCATCTGGGTGCCCTTGAAGAAAATAAGGAGGCCCTGAATTACTTTCTCCTCTCCTCTCCTCTCCTCTCTTCTCCTTTCCTCTCCCCTCCTCTCCACCCCTCCCCTCCTTTCCCCTCCCTCCCCCTCTCCCCTCCCCCCCTCTGCTTTCTAGCCACCATAAGTGAGGTGAGCAGCTCACTTTGGTACACACTTCTACCATGATGTGTTACCCAGCCATTGGCTCAAAAGCACTAGGGCTAGTGGAACACAGACTAAAAACAGTGAGCCACATGAAACTTTTCTACCATATAAATTGATTATCCCAGGTATCAATGCAAAGCTGACTGCCACATCTCTACACGACAACAGGGTCACATCCCAGTTGAATCTATTCCAGGGAGGGGGATTGAGGGGTCAACAGATGGGCCATAAGGATGCTGTGATCAGCATAGAGGATGCTGGGTTCAGGTCAAATTTCCAACAGGCTTGCAGCAGTACACGAGGGCCCAGATATATCACATCCTCACCAATGTCTGTGTTTTCTGTTTTCTCTTTCTGCAGAGAGAGAGAGAGAGAGAGAGAGAGAGAGAGAGAGAGAGAGAGAGAGAGAGAGAGAGTATACCAGTCCTGGAACTTGAATTCAGGGTCTTTTGTTGTTACTTGGCTTTTATACTCCAGGTAGATGCTCTACCACTAGAGCCACAGGTCCACTTCCAGCTTTTTGGTGGTTAACTGGAGTTATGAGTCTCACAGACTTTCCTTTCCCAGTCTTGCTTTGAACCATGATCCACAGATCTCAGCCCCCTGAGTAACTAAGATTGCTGTCATGAATTGCTGGTGCCTTGCTATTGGTACCTCCTATGAGTCTGATTTGCTTCTCTTTACTAATAAGGTTGAGCATCCATTCATGTGTTCCTGGCCATTTGAATACCACTTTATGAAATACCTGTTCAAGCCTTTCACCCATTTTTGTTTAGTTCTAAATTGGGCAACCTCTATGATTTAAGTGTGTGCCATACCCCCAGAGGTTTACATCCCAGAGATGTAATGGTGTTAAGAGCTGAAATAAGGCCTACAGAGAGGTCACAGGGGACATGGCATTCAGAAGGGAATAATGCTCATCTCTGGGCTAAATTGATTTCATCAAGAGTTGCTGCTATAACAAGTTTGATCTTCGTGGCACCCTCTCCAGCTTCCTCTCTCATCTTGAGACCTCTCCTACACACACCCTTTCCAATCTCTATGATGCATGAAGCACCATTGCTTTAAGCCAGTGAGATTGTAGCTGCCTGATTACAGGTAAAACCAGGAGCCAAAATAAATCTGTTTGTACTATAAAATGTCCAGCCTTGGGTACTTTGTTACAGCAACACCATCATCCATCCTTACCTTTTTCTGATTTTTTTTGGAGGGGAGTCCGGTTGTGGGGCCTGAACTCTGGGCCTGGGTGCTGTCCCTCAGCTCATCAGCTCAAGGCTAGCACTCTACCACTTGAGCCACAGCGCCACTTCCGGTTTTTCCTTTTTGCTTATGTGGTGCTGAGGAATCGAACCCAGGGCCTCATGTATGCAAGGCAAGTACTCTACCACTGAGCCACCTTCCCGGCCCCCCTTTTTCTGTTTTTATTTTAGTTTCATTTGTCTGTTTTTTTAGGTAAGGTCTCATTTTGTATTCCAAGCTGGATTCAAACCCAGGATTCTCTTGCCTCAGCCTCAGAGTGGCAAATGCCTCTCCTCCATCTTTTCATTGTTGATCTGTAAAAAAAAAAAAAAAATACAATTAACTACTAGATTAATTATAATTATTATAATGAATTGGTGTTATCTTTACTTGGCAGTACTGGGGTTCAAACTCGGAACCTTGCTATGCTGATGTGATGCTGTTGAGCCATCCTTCTAGCCCTGGTTTGTGTGTGTGTGTGTGTGTGTGTGTGTGTGTGTCTATGTGTGTTGTTGTTGTTGTTGTTGAAGACACTGGGATTTGAACTCAGTACCTTGAGCTTGCTTGGCAGGCATTCTACTATTTGAGCCATTTCACCAGCTCCAGCACTGTTTTTCATTGAGCATTTTTGGGATAAGGTCTTCCTTCCCACCTGGGCTATCCAGGTAGTAAACTATCCACATAGTTTAGCTTTTCAACATCATCTGCTCACAGGTATGCATCACTGAGTCTAGCTTCTCTTCCATAGAGATAGAATCTTCAGGACTTTTCTGCCTGAACTGGCCTGGCACTAAGGTCCTCCCAATTTCAGCCTCCCATTTAGTTTGAGATTATAGGCGTGAGCCACCAACATATGAAAGCATTTTATCTATATCCCTAGGCCTGGGGTGCTGTTCAGGTTTTAATATGTATTAAATAGCTCTTTAGGTTGTTAAATGAACCAGTGCATTGTGAGTGGGGAGAAATACAATTTGGTAAAGAAGGTCTGTATTTCTTTTTTTTTTTTTTGTAATAACTTTATTGAAGTATAATTTACACATAAAATATGTTTGTTTGAAGTCAGCAGTTCACCAAGTTGTGCAATCATTACCATAATCTAATTTTAGAACATTTTCACTACCCCAAAAAGAAACCTTGTGTTTGTTTGCTTACTTCTGTCCCCAGGCAACCACGGATATATTTACTGTTTCTACAGCTTTATCTTCTCTGGACATTTCAGATAAAAGGAATCAAATCACATGTGGCCTTTGGCATCTTTAGCCATAATGTATTTGAGATTCATCTATGTAGTGGCATCTGTCAGGAATTCATTCCTTTTCGTGGCTGACTATTCCATCTTCTAGGTATACCTCATCTTTCTATCCATTAACTAATGGACATTTGGGTGTATTGATTTTTATTTGTTTGTTTGTTTTTCTATTTTGAGATAGGGTCTCATCTGTATCTCACCCACCCAGGCTGGTCTTGAACAGTAATTCTCTTGCCTCCACATCCCAATTTCTGGGGTTAAAGGCATCTGCCACCATTTCCAGCAACTGATCGACATTTGGATTATGCCTACTTTTTAGCTACATCGACAGCACAACTATGAACACAAATATTTATATGGACTTTTTTATTTTTCTTAGGTAGATACATGAGAGAATTGCTAAGTGAATTTATGTTTAAAGTTCTTGTTTTCTTTTCTTTTTTTTTGCAGGAACACTATATTTATTGGGTCAATAATTCATTTTTTAGCAATACAAGTACAGAATATATCACAATGCTGGTTACAAACATTCTTTTCTGTTTTTTTGAGACAAGGTCTAGGTATATAGCAAGCTGGCTTGGAACTCATGACCCACCTGTACCTCATCCTGAATGATGAGATTATAGTTGTATACTATCTCACTCAGCTATATTTAAATTTCCACTTCAATTATTGCCCTGGAAATCTTAGTTCAAGAGGAAGTGTTAGAATCAAGTATGGTGGTGCACAACTGTTATCAGTTACCCAGGCAACTGAAGCAGGAGAATGACAAGTTCAAGGCCAGCCTGGGTTACACGGCTAAGATCATGTCTCAAAAAAACTACCAGGATCACTGAACTAGATAGATCATAATAATTCCTAATACTGAAGTATTTAATATACCAGACTTTGCTCTAAACAGTTTATATGTGTTTAATCATTTAATCTGCTTATGAACTATATAATGTAAATAATGCTATATCATTTTTATAGTACTGAAGAGTGAATTCAGGGTCTTGTGCTTGCTAGGTATCATCTTTTATACACGATAAGGAAAATAAGGTTCAGAGAGGTCAAGTAAATTTCCAAGGCCATCCAGCTTGAAGGTGGCAGAACTGGGGTTAGGGTATAAGCAATCCAGAGCTTACAGCCACTCACTAGAGTCAACTGTCCCAAGTCTCATCTTCAGTACTTAACTTCCATTTATATTTATACCAAGGGGAGATAAGGCCTGAAGGTGTTGTGGCTAGTCTGGTAGGGATGTAAGTTCCAACACTGCCACTGTAACAACCTCCTTTTCTTTCTTGTCTTCCCTCCTTCCCTCTCTTCTCTCCCTTCCTCCCCTCCCTCTCTCCCTCCCTCCCTCCTCCCTCCCTCCCTTCCTTCCTTCCTTCCTTCCTTCCTTCCTTCCTTCCTTCCTTCCTTCCTTCCTTCCTTCCTTCCTTCCTTCCTTCCTTCTTTCTTTCCTTCCTTCCCCAGTTCATTACCTGGGTCTCCTGGGAGTGTTTAGTCTGCCTGTAGTTGAGAAATTTCCAATCTTCCTGACATCACAGGTGGCTGGAAAGTAAGGCCTAAGAATTCTGCTTGGCAGCGTGGCTGCAGAGGGTCCACACGGAGCCCAGCCATGCCATCAGATTTGACATTTTATCCTTTTCAGAACTTAGTCTGATTAATTTTAGAGGCTGTTTGTATATCAGAGATCGTGGCTCTGTTCTCTGTTTCATGTTTTGTTTGGGGAATCAAAATTTAGGGTTTCAAAGACACAAAGCAAGTACTCTACCACTGAGCCACACTCCCAGTTCTGAAATGGTCTCATTTTGCATTGTGACAAGAGTCTCACTGTGGAATCCAACTGGCCTCCAACTTGAAGTCATTCTGCCTCAGTCTCCTAAGTGCTGGGATTACAGGTGTGCACCACCATACCTAACTGCATCTGTGTCTTGAGTGTGGCCCCCTCATACAGGGTCAGTTGTGAAATTTTCCACTGGGGCATCGGATGGACACTTAAAAGTTTGGATTTTGGAGCATTTCGGACTCCAAAGTTCCAGATTAGGAATGCTCAATTTTTACTCAGAGAGATTAAAGAATCTCATTAATTACAGGTTAGGGATCGTACTTTAATTTTTTTCTTCCAGAGAAAGCTAACAAAAGACCTTTTACTTCTGTGCTCTTGCTTGGCGATCAGCATTTTGTATGTGTTTGCAGGTCCTGGGGCCTGACTCAGGGTCTGGGCACTATTCTTGAACTGTTTCCCCTCAACGATAGCTAGCATTCCACCACTGAAGGCACAGCTCCACTTTCATGTGTTTGGTGGTTAATTGAAGATAAGAGTCTCACACACTTTCCTGACTTCAGATCTCAGACTCGGATGCAGCTAGCATTACAGGCAGGAGCCACCAGCACAGAGCTGAGATCAACTTTTTCAGAGTCTTATCTTTGTAGTACCTGGGCAGGGAGCATGGTGGCCTCCTACCGTTTGTTGACTGAATGAATGAGTGTATGCTCCACAGCCAGTCCATCTGGATTTTCAGGAGAGTTGAATCCAGAAGGGGCCTTCCTTTTGTAGATAAAAGGGGGGGGGGGGACGCGGGTAGTGGAGGGGGAGACAGGATTGCTTTCACCTTTCACCTTTCCTGTTTAGTCCCTTGGGCCTGACCCCAATTCTACCAACAACTCCAATCCATCTTCCCCTCCCCTCTTCTCTCCTCCCCTTCCTTTCCTACCCGGTCCCTCTGGTGTGACTGGCTTTGCCCTGGGCTTCCCTGCTCAGGCTCCAGACTTCCCACCTGTCATTCACCCATTGTTCAGTTTCCGGTGAGTCAAGTTCAGCCCCAGGTTCGCCTTTTAGGATGACAGCTGCACACATTCCCTCATTGACACCTAGGAGGCGACGCCCTCCCACCACCGGCCACCCGGGCCCACGCGACCGCCACCCAGGGGCTTTTCCACCCCCTGCACGGGCAGGGGGGGGGTAGGGGAGACTCTCCCCCGAGCAGCGCACCCCCCCCCCCGCGACCTCCCTGCACACGATCTGCACGACCCCCGTCCCCCATCCCTCTACCCGCTCCCAGCCCTTGGCAGGCGTGGCAGTCCCGACCCGCCCCCGGCCCGCCCCCAGTCGCCTAGGACCGGCCCCGGCCCGGCCCCCTCGCTTGCCGTCCGCGGAGCTCCGCCGGCCACAGGCGGATGCTCGGGGTCCCGCCTCCCCGGGGAGCGACGCCCGTCTACGCGCCAGGGCCGATCTCCGCGGCCGCCGCCCGCGCTCCGCGTCCCCGGGAAGTTGTCTCGGGAACCCGCGACCCCCCCCCCCCCCCCGCCAGGTCTCCTCCCCCTGGGCCCCGCCCCCCGCCGGCCCGGGGGCGTCGCCCGCCCGCGCTGCCCGGCCCGCGCGCGAGTCCCCCGCTCGGCGCCGGTCGCGCGTCCCCTCCCGCCGGCCCGGGGACCCCCTGCGAAGCTCCCCGGCGCGCGGCGCGCGCGCCCCGGAGCGCGGGAGCCCGGGGGGGAGCCGGGCGCCTGGGACCCCGCGGAGCCGCCGGCCCAGCCCGCGCGCGGGCTCGGCGGGCATGCAGGCTGCTCGGTGAGCCCCGGCACCGAGGCCATGTCCGGGGCGCGCTGCCGGACCCTGTACCCCTTCTCCGGGGAGCGGCACAGCCAGGGGCTGCGCTTCGCGGCCGGGGAGCTCATCACGCTGCTGCAGGTCCCGGACGGCGGCTGGTGGGAAGGCGAGAAGGAGGACGGGCTCCGCGGCTGGTTCCCCGCCAGCTACGTGCAGTTGCTGGAGGTAAAGGGGTGGAGGGGGGGCCGGGACGCGGGGTCGGGGGGGGGGTGGGTGGGCCGGGGCGGGGAGACCCGGGCTGAGGTCTCGCGCGCGCCCGCAGACCTGTTGCCCGTGCTGGAGATGCTGTCCCTCCCTGTCCCGGCCCTGGCCCCGGGGAGCGGCCGCTGCCCTGCGATCTTTCCGTTCAAGGGGGCGGCGAAGGCAACGGGAGCCCCCTCCCTCCCGATCCCCCTGGAAGATGTGGGGGACACCGGCCGCCCGAGTGCGCGCCTTCCCCGGCCCCCCGCGGCTGCACGGGGGGCGCGAGAACTTGTTGCCTGGAGTTGTGGAGCGAGCGGGCAGGAGCGCTGCGGGCAGTGACAGGAGTCGCCAAAGGCTTGCGTGAGTCTGGTTGTGTGGTCTTGGGGATCCAGGAGGTGCCACCCGCCCCCCCCCAAGTCCCCGCGGCTCCAATCGGAGCCTGGTGGCTGATGGTCGGTCGTGCTGTCCGGGGTCAGGCTGCCTGGCCGCCCCTGGCAGGGGTAGGGTGGGGGGCGCCCCACCTGCCGGTCATCCGCATCACCAGTGGCCATCCCTGGCTCCACCAGCAATGATCATGACCCAGAGATACAGGCAACCCGCGTCCAGCGCTGTCCCCCTACCCGGGGCTTCCAATCCCAGCCTGAAAGTTGCTCATTCTTGGGTCTCAGGCGGGGCCCCAAGGCTGCACAGGACCTGCTGAGCCAAGTCAGCTGGCTGTTTATTATCTGGGTGACAATTGCAAGGCCTCGATGTCCTCTAATCGCTGAGCTCATGGTCACAGGCTGAGTGAGATCCGAAGTTTCTAAAGTCCTTTGTCTGTGTGTAGGGGGTGGTGGTGGTTCTTCTACAGCTGACACCAGCATTGTTGCAAAGACTGCATTAAAACTTATTCCCGATTTTCTGTAAATATTCTTAAATATACCGCTGCAGCCTGACTAGATCATGGGAGATTGTGTTTATGTCTTCACCCAGACCTATTTCACAAAGAACAGTAGCAAATATTGAATGAACATTCTTCCCTGTGACTCTTGGTGGAAGAGGTAAAGGGGAGGAGAGGGAGTTGGGGGTGAGAAGATTTTGGAATACTTGCCTGAGAAGTGTCTTGTGACTATATACACGGATGCATATGTATGATATCTATGGATATATCTACAGATTCACTTGGTAATCTACAAATTATATACTTTCTATCTCTAGATATTTGATATCTGTGGATGAATTTCAAATAGTGAGTAGCCTTCTAGAAGTGGTGATGTTTCCCACATCTCCTTCCCAAGTGGATGGACAGACAGCTTGGGAGTAAAATCTAGGGGGTGCCTTGGAAAGGTGGAAATGAGCTTCTATGGGCTTTTAGCTGAGTCTCTTCTGGGAACTCTCAGTTCTGTTTTGAACAGCTGTAGCCGTAGGAGAAGCTCAGGAGTGTTCTTTGGCTTTTCTCAGTCCCTTTCCTCTGAGACAGGTGTAAAAGAAAGCAAGTAGCCTCCTTCTTACTGGAAGATTCTAGCTCCAAAGCCCCAGGAGAAACACATATTGAGAGTTCTGATGGCTTTGTTTCTCTAGGAAATCCTAAATGTGGAAATGGGGTTGTTGGATATCTGTAGGGTAAGAAGGGCTCCTGGCTGGACCCCAGCCAGCTGCTTTGAGGCCGAATGGGTGTTAGTAAAGTCAAAGTGGCGCTAGTTTGTCTTCTGTGTGTTTGTTTTTATTTTTGTTTTTGTTCTTAGAGAAAGGAAGGGAGGGTGTACCAGGCCCCAGGGACAAAACAGAACTAGGATCTTGGAGTCCTGGGTGTGCCAGTCACATTCCCCAGATCATATATACTCAGGAAGTCTCTGGTGCTTCAGGACCTTCAAGACTTGCCACACAGTGCCCATAAGTGCTATAGAAAGGCTCCTCCAATTGGTTGAGCATCTATTAGGCACCAGGTGTGGTGTGTACATCATTATCAGTTTTCTTGTCATCTCTGTGCAGGGTGATGCCACTCCTATTTTTATAGATGAGCAAATTGTTCCAGGAAAATCTCGTCCCAAGCAGAGGAACGTGGACCACAAGGCCCTGGCTACGCAGGGTGTGGAACCAGCTACTCCCAGAAAAGGGATGAGGCCTGTGTTAGTCAGTAGGAGAGAGGGGTTAAAGAGTTGGAAAAAGCAGAGCTCCCAAGAAAGCATCCAGTGGGTAGAGTGGCCAAACACATAAAATCCTGAGACTCAAAGTTCCCAACAGGGGCTCTTGAAGCCAGGAGAGCAGAGAAAAGGCCCATCAGGACTGGAGCATTAATAAAGCCAGGGTTTCTACTGGGGTAATAAGGACTCCTCCCCCCCGCCCCCCCCCCCCCCCGGCTTCCTGGGAAGCACAGCTCCCTGTATATCCTGGTAGATGCACCTGGAGAATGGCTCCTCCAACATGCACCCAGTTTATTTTTCACCCTTTGATGGAAAGAGGGGTGGCAGGGATGTTTATCTTGTGGAGCAGTGTGAGACACTGAGAACAGTATGAGAAAAATGGCCATGCCCAAGGATGCTGTTCAGATGAAAAAGGGGAAGAGAGAGATGTGACTTTGTCGGAAGCATGGGCTGTGGTGGAGAGTTAGAGATGACTCTGAAAGAAACTTCCAGTTCTACCCTTGTAGCCAGCCATGTCCTCCTTTCTTCCCCTTCTCCCATATTCCCCAGAGGAGCCCATCATGGTGGAAGTCCTGATTTTCAGGGAGCTCTCTTTAGTTAGGATGGTCAGAAATTGTAGCCCACACCTGGCTTCCCATGGACAGACTCCAGGAAAACCTCAGCTCAAGCAGAGAAATGTGCAGTACCCTGAGAGGCGTAAGGACTCTGGCCACAGGAGTCTGGGCTACTCAGGGTATGACACAGTCCTTCAAGGGAAACCAACTGTCTATCCCTCTGACAAAAAGCCTGAGATTAAACAGCTTATAAAGAAGAGAGGTGTATTTTGGCTCATTTGTTTCAGAGGCTCCAATCCATGCTCACTTGGCCTTGTTGCTTTAGGACCTATGATAAAGCTGATCAGGAAGACAATGTGTGGAACAAAACTTCACATCTCATAGTGGCCAGGAAACAGAAGGAACCAGAATTCCCATGTCCCCTTCAAGAGCCTTGCTCCCAATGATCTAACTTTCTCTCATACACCCCACCCTATCTCCTAAAAATTCTACCATCTCCCATTAGTATCTCGAGGCTGTCGACTGAACCTGTAGTGTAAGTCTTTAAAGAAACATAAGATCTAAACTATAACAAAGCCTAACAGACAAGCCCCACAGTTGACTATAAGGACATTAAGGCCCTTAGATAAAAGGAGCTAGAAGAAAATCTTTCTGGATGGTATCTTCAGCCTCAAAGAAGTAGGAAGAGTAGAGAACTCTCCTATCATCCTTTGAAAGACAGGTTAGAGGAGGAGTGAGCTAGTGAAAACCTGAGGCCAGACAGATATTCTGGCTCATGTTCTATCAGCTCTAACTAAGCCAGGCCCTAGATCATCTCCATAGGCACGGGGGCCCCCACATGGGAGAAGATTTCCACTAGCTTTCTGGGATACACAGCTCCTGGGATAGGTAGTTAGATGAGGGAGGTTGGATCTCTAGTCAGGGAAGACTTGGAGAGTCAGACATGTATGAAAAGCGGTTGAAGTACTGATCAGGCCTGCTGGCTGGAGGTCCTTAATGGCTTCAGGAATCCCATGTAGCCTACTTTTTGACTGGAGGGGAGAAACGAGGGACCTACCTAATGAATGCTGTAAGACATCTTCCAAAGCACCTGGAGAGCTTTGGGGAAAATCATTTTGGAAGGGGCAATAATATTGGAATACACACCCCCTTCCTCCCCCCCCCCCCTCAACAGACCTTTAACTGGACACAGTTTTAGAAGCCATGATATCTGGCTGCCATGTTGTGCTGGTGTCTTGGTACTCATCCATGTGGCTTCTCTCCTCGTGGTAGCTCCTCTTCCAGGGTCTTTCTATGGAGAACTTTCTCTTCAGTGAGGGAGTCAGAGTTCTAACAGTTGGTGGCTGGCTTCCAAGAACACAAAAGCATAAATAATAGGCATAGATAATCCAGGCCTTGTTAAAGCTTTAGCTCAGGCCTGGCTCATCAACTCTGCTATGTTCTGTTGGTGAGGTATGTCACGGGACCGGTGTGAAGCCAATGTAGAAAGAGGTGGACACAGGTATGGAAAGAGGTGGAAGCATGCTTCACAGTGGGTCATGGTGACTTTTTAGGGTCATTGTTGAATCTTTATGGATCTTTCTAGAAACTTAAAATCCATATACCATAACCTCCTATCCTCAAGAGGTTAGGGAGGATGCATATGGGTCAGATGATCTATTTAAGGGGAGGCAGCAGTACCAAGTGGGACTAATGAGAGAGGGAGCCTCTAGAAGAAGGGACAATGTCAGAGATTTGGTCTTTTGGCTTGGAGATGCTCTACTGCAATCCTTGGTGAGTTTCTCCTAACCCGACTCCACAAGTTTATTTCTAGACATTTATGATATATAATGCGGCTAGAATATGAAATCAGATCTGCCGGAACCCAAAGCCAGGCATGGTGGTATATGTATATGGCTATAATCCCAGTATTCAGGAGACTGAGTTTGAGGCCAGCTTGTTTTCTGTTTTCTTTTTCAAAGATTTGCTCGGCTATAAAGCAGAGCCTGGGTTTGCCCATTACTGGATTGTCTCAATGGTCCAGCATTTTGAAAATAGCATTTTTGGTTGGCATGAATCTCTGTCTGCCTGATACTTGCTTGCTAAGACATACAAATTGATGTTAATATAGGGCCATTTCCCCCATAGCATGAAAATAACAAAATTGTGTGTGACCTTGACCTTCATTCCAAGATTTTTCAGGTGGTCATTGTGACTCTGTTCACACAAAGGTGTCATTAGGGCTGGTGACAACCATGATCTGTAATTGGAACTGAAATTGTCATCTTCACAAAGTCAACCTACCCTAAGGTTTGAAAATCTTCCA